ACACTGAACCTGACTTTAACTTGCTTAAGTTATTCGTAGCAATAATTTCACATCCTTATTTTTGTAGCATATAAACAAAATAATGTAGCGTAGCAGATCGTAGCGTTCGTAGCTCTAGGAGCATACATGTTTGTCAAATCTTGCTACTTAATTTTAAAGCAGTTATCCTCAACCAATTTAACTGAAAATTTGTATTCAGTAAGTTTGAATGATAATGTATTATTCTAAAAAATCAATTTTCAATAAATTAACTAAAATGGCGTAAAAAATATATAACGCCCAAGCGGTCGGTACCTAATTATGAACAGGCAGTATTTCGTTTCTTTGGCCGGTCCCTTTGTCCACGGCGTATGATGTGATATTGGTACAAATTGAATTGTTATAGCGCGCGTTTGTTCGATCGCATGCACGGACGCCGTTCAGGATTCACTTTATAAGGTATGTTATTGAGATAATCAAGTTTTTGGTAATACTGGGGGTGATTCATTTTAAAGAACTATCTCATAGATATTGTATTAGACTTTCGTTTGAAGTTAATTATACTTCTTGTTTTTGCATTTACTTAAATCGTCACAGGTTTATGAAATCAAAGACTTTTTTATCAATATTAATCTTGTCTAAAAACGTTTTGGTCAATTCGTATTTAAAGACGACAAATTTTGTAAATAAGCTAAAATTATTAATATATTTATGATTCCATGAGGCGAAAAATGATCATTTTACGTAAAAGTCACTGTTACCACACTTGCGTTAAAAGGAACTAAGATTACTTTGAATATCAATAATGTCAATAATTACAGGTACTCAAGATTTTTTTGTACTAATGGTATATAGGTAATTTATGAAATAATTCGTGAAATTTATTAGATAAAATAAAGTTATTAATCTAGAGCTCCTTAAAATGGATGGTAAATTAGGTTTTGAATAGGTAAAACTACTGGATTCAAGGATGCACACCCAAAGAATTTTTGAAAAGTTGGCATCACTATCAATTACAAAATAATTAACAGTGAATAAGAATATGGAATATACAATATTTATTTTATATTGAAAAATATAGTGAAGAAAGCTTTAATAAAATTGTAAAATAATTGCTCAATAGAATAAATGATACGATAAAAAAGTTCTTACTAAATAAAGTTTCCCTCGCGGATCACGTGGAAAAATTGGTGGTTTGTGTATTGTTAAGCCGATGTTCATTCGGTTATCATGATTCGAGATCAAAGCCTGTCAATTATGGGTAAGCAGAATAAATATTGCTTTTGCAATTTTCACAAAGTACAGGAAAATAATGTGCCGAGTTGTTGTTATTGTTATTGTTAGAAGGAACTTTAATTGCTAGGCAATATTTCGCACACTGTTTAAAATATCGCTCAAATAATATATAATGCATCGGATACTTGGAGAATAAAATTAACTTTGGAATAAATCTAAAAGATGAAAGTTACACAAATTGTACAAAAATAACACATTATTTTTCAATAGCTTTTTAGGATGTCGTTTCAAACTCAAATTGTGAACAAATGTTGCAGTAAACAATAATATAATAAATACAAATTTTCATAAAAAAACTGATTCTGTTTTGATTGAAGAAATAATAAACATTCCATCAATATCAATAATTGTAAGGTTATTTAAATAAGTTACATAAATCCTTATATTAAATGATACAAATAATTGTTCCTCTCTTCTCATTTCATTCTATTTCAATCTTCATCTTCAAAATCGCAGGGCAGAGAGATACGTCCCTAGGCACATTTTCATTAGTCGACAGGGCCCTGATGCGGACTGCGAGAGATTTTTAACGCGTTGTATGTATACAAATCATTGCGAACGGAGAGTATTCGTAGGTGGTAGGTACCACTGTGAAACTTGATGGCACAATTCACTAGGACCGGTCATAGGATGGATAACCAGAAAAAAATTTACATTGCTGAGTTAATCAGTGCTTCCAAATAGGAATTCCTAGTAGGAATATCCCTATATTAATAGGTGATAATGACTCCATTATTGAATATTGATCATCAATACGCCTTATTAATATTAGTCGATGGGTTGTCGGTTTATTAATCAACGAAGTGAACCCGCATTGATCAATAAATGAGCCTTTAGTATTCATGAACTCTTTTGATGTTCAACATATAATCGTTTAATCTGTTATAAAGGCTTTAAATCATAAATCGTTTATGTCTCGCATAACAAAACGCATTAAGAGCTGTGCTAACCAAACTCAGGTGAAACCCGTTATGATCCTCGTAAATGCATACTTTACTGCCCTCGTAATAATGCTCAGCAATTTGTTTATAGTGATTCGTGATAAGATAATAAATATTAGACAACATCACGTACATTGCTCAAATTCCAAGATGAGTAGCTAAAGCCCCCGTATTATGAAGTATCTGAGTCAACGACGATAACACAACAAAATGGACGGGCGATCATTATTACAATTATTGCTCAGATTCCATGATAAGTATTTCAAAACCTCGTATTAAAGAGTATTTGACACAAGATGACATAGAAATCGAACATGAACGTCAGAGATGGCAACTCCTTGAAATCAGCGTGCGAGTCACTCGGCCACGGAGGTTGTCATAGACTAAAATCAATCTTATTACGGATTTGAATTAAAATTCTATTGTATCAAACATGCAAAAAAAAAAGATTTGTGGTTTTATAAAAAATAATTGCTTTCGATTCAATTTTTATTTATTTTTGACAAGACCTTTTTGTTATTATTCAAATTATGAAACAAAAAGTAGTTCGTGTTCAGTAAACAAGTGATAACTCGAAAGTGCTCCATTTTACGATGACAATAATATGGTCCCTCGGAAATTTTATAACTGGAACTTTATCGTTCGGTACCGCATTCATATTTTAGCATGAGAAAAGAGTGGAGAATCCTTTAAGAAATACTCGGGATAAGTTGCACTTTATGAGTTAGATGAATACCTTTATAGTGAGTTCAGATATGGGAACCAGAAAATACTGTTACGAGCAAGGGTTCGGGATAAACATTAACGCCAATTAAATTCACAATCCGACACTTTATTGAAACAATAAAAAGAACAAAAAATAATTCGCTAACAAAATATAACGTTTATTATACTTCATCAATTTTGCATTCACAATGCTCTTAATGAAAAATGCTTAAAAAATCCAATTTGTCTCTGGCACTCTGAGATAGGATTGATGAAAAAGTAATAAGATCTTAAAAAAATCGTTAGTACTGGATAGCTGACAAGTTAGAGCAGTCGCCCGGATAATAATGATAATGGGTTTCAGTCCCATCTCGGATTGCCAGTGAAAAAGATTTTTTTAATGGATTTTTTTTAGTGGATTTTTTTTAAACATTTTTAATTAAAAAAATATATCGTCTTCGTGAAGCAATACCGAATGTCGGCAATTTATATTAAACTCGATATATCGACTTTATTGATAGAGCGTAGGAGATTCTAATCATTTTTAGGATAAATGTTTTAGAACGGTTGCTCGTTCGTTGCTCACGGACATGTAAGTATGTAAGGACACGCATAGTTTCTAGGGTGGCTAGCGCGAGTCATAACGCCATCTAGAGACGAACAGACGAAACATAGCGCTGTGTTGTGCTATCGTCGATCGCGGACACGGTGGGTGGTGGCGTGGGCGCAGGAGTTCGCTGGTAGTTGCAATCAGTCTCGATTGTGAACGTTATTTGAACTGTCGTGTTTATATTGAGCAAAAGGTAAAACTTTTTTTTTCACTTTTAGAAGAAAAATTAGAGTACGATGAACTTATATTATTAAAAACAAGAAAAAAGTTAATCAAATATTCACAAATCGACAAAATGAAGGTAGATCATACAAAACACTATTACACCTAATGAAAATAATAAAAAACCGTCATTTTCCTTATTTAACTCATTTTTAAACACAATTCAAACTGGTCGTCTTGGAGTGTACCCGTCGCTTTGCTTCAAAAGAATACCGACCGACGCGTGTGGCGTGTGTCCTTCGCCCGCTCACGCCGCGTTGCCCGCCGAACGCGACGTTTCCGTGAACCCAACGTTAAACGTTTCCGAACATAGAATTGAGATGTCATCGGCTACGAGTGGTCAGGGAAACCAACGCCTTAGAAGGTAGTGTCCGTCGCTCCGTGACAATACGTATAAATCAAAATTGAAAGGAGATGTTTAGTTTATTTCTATTTTCATGCATCATGTTTGTTGTAAGAGTTGATATTTTTATTTATGATTATGTTTGTTTTATAACTTCGACGAATATCATTCACAATTTTTTATTAAACTTCATGCTCAGCCGCATCACGATGACGAAAATCGATACTAAATAAGTAGGTACGGGCAAACGCGTCCCCTTCAGTCGCTTGTAGGCTTAGCACCGACTCGCAGGTGTGTACCGCTAGAGGCAAGTAGCACAATCACACAAACACTAATTGAGTTCATATACGATAGTCATATGTTATTAAATTTTATCATACAAATTATTTTTTATAAAATAATCGCTGTCAATAAAGATCAGATAACTATGTTAAACATTATGATACAGTTAAATAAAGGTATCACTGTAAAGTGTAAAATAGTTGATATCTAATAAACTCAATTAAGCGTTGCGGAATCACCCGTTATACTTGCATTCACCTTAAGTACCGCAGATGCGGTGGTACGACGACATCAAAAGACTGGCGGAAACAAAATGGATGGACACTGCTCAACAATAGCAGAAGACTTGTGTTCAGGTTTTCTTCTATGTTTTAACCGTGTAACTGTTATTCTTGTACTGTATCATATATGTTAAAAAACTCCTATTTATTTTTCTCGGACCGCGTGGGCACAGTCGCAAGTAACAGCAAGTGTTAAAATATAAATAGGGTTGGCTTATCAAGAACTGATATGAAGTAAATTTAGTTTCGAAATAGGTAATTTGAAACAAAAATAATATACAGTTGATATCGTACTCTATTGTTAAACCATATTTTCATATTTATTTATTCACACAGAAATAATGAATTTTATGAAGCTGATATCAATTTTTTCATCACTTTTAGTAGTATTCAAATGTTACGCCGAAAGCGCTTCGTTGCGAATAGTTGGAGGTCAAGATGCGACGCCAGAACAATTACAGAGCATAGTCAGAATAGAGATAAAAATGAACGATATATCAGAATATATATGCTCTGGCTCTGTTCTGTCATCGACTTGGGTACTAACTGCAGCCCATTGTTGTGATGAAGCGCCTGCATACAACAACCATACAATGGTCATAAGATATAAAACAGGATTCGAGATTCCTTTTATCAATGATAGTTTCAGTGAAGTCGTTGAGGTGAAAATACATCCCTTCTTTATAAGTTTAGACAAAAGAAATACATGGATCTCTAAGAATGATATTGCTCTATTGAAAACAACTCCAATGAAATTGGATAGATACAGGAAGATAAGCGCGATAGACTACACGGTAATGTTTGGCCAAGAAACAATCGCAGCTGGATATGGCATCACCAAAGACAGTCACACTAATGTATATGACACCTCCTCGGCCCTTAATAAAACACTACAAGTGGAAAAGTTTCTAGCGAGTAAGTGTTCGTTAGATGAGACAATATTATTAGTGCATCCAAGTATATGTCTCAGTCCTCGATGTAATGAGAGAGTTGCTTTATGTGGTGGGGATTCTGGAGGGCCTTTGTTATATTCTTCGAAAATCGTCGGCGTGTTGATACTTAGCAGCCAGATTAGATGTGGGCCATATGTCAAAGTAAATGCAGAAGATGTGGATTTTGGAGTTGCCATTCCCGTTAGTCCCTATATTCAATGGATTCGTAATACAATAAAATTATGAACATATTACATAATTCTTTATTGCATCATGTTCTTAGTCGCTATTCGCAAAGTGATCGTGATCGTCTGTTGAGGGTTAGTAACGTACCTCTCGAAGCGTTGCCACTCGTCTCGGATGGCTGCTTTCCTTGTACACTCGTGTAGAGAACCATTAAAAGCAGCTTTCACTCGGTCCATCTAGCGTATTGGTGACTTCCCACGTAGTCTTGTACCTTCCATCTTTCCTTGCACCACAAGGTGATCTACAAATATATCTCCTCATAGATTTGAAATTTTAAGACCACTGATATTAGCTCCGTCTGACCAGTTGTGAAGGGTGATCCTCATAATAAGCGTTGTGTAAATGTTAAACAACAACAGCGAAACGATATACCATTAACGAACTCCAGCACGGGGTGGAAGGCAGTGGACACGTCGTCATCTGTTCTGTCGGAAGCGGTTCTACTTTCATACAATTTTTATGGAGGACTTATTAAGTGTTTAGGCGTACCCATTGCCAAAAGACATTACTAGAGTTTCGGCCATTTTATATAATCAAACTCCTTTGAAAAATCAAAACATATGTATGTCAGTCTATTAAATTCTCTAATTCGACATACAGTTAGGACTTGCTCGCGGGTACCCTTTTCCGGGGGCTTTGTTGAAAAGTCTGCTTTTTCAGTAGCGAGTTAGATTTTAGCCCCTCGTTTAATATATGCAGTAAGATTTTACTTGCATAATACGCAAAAATATGTATAGAAAGAGAACAACAGGAGCGCATAGGTTAAACTGAGTGTTTGCCCAGTCTAGTATACTTCAAGAATGGCATCGTGAGCGATACTCTCAGCAATGCTTTCAATAATATTGCGTTCTTGTAAGCGTCTCTAGAGGATGGAGTCAAATACCGTTGCATGTGAAATTTTATAGAATAAATGCTGTATTGGTAGCTCTTACTATGTGACGAAATCTTTGTGAATTTAGAAAGCATTGTTTTTCATAGTTTTTTCTTTACTACTACTATCACTGTCACAAAAACCATCAATATCCTGTTCATACACCTTATGTGAGGTTAAGATTTTTTTTTGTATTTGATTTAATAGTATTAAGTTCGTGATAAACGTGTGCAAGTTTTGTAACCATTAATATTTCACTTTCTAAAACATTAAACGATAATTTGAATAGAAAGCTCTGTTGTTTTCTTTTTTAATATATAAACAAAATTATTCACTCAGTCGACCAGACAAACAAATGGTACTAACTTTATACAACAATATCGACGTTTTCCTGTTCAATATTTCAAGTCAGTAAGAAAGTTTCAATCCACCTGCATTAAGTGATTAGTTCCATTTGGGAATGGCACAGCATCAGTTGTGCAAAGTTTTGTGCATTTTCAATTATTCATTTATACAAAACGACAGACGTGTTAATTGTTATTGGTAAAGTTTCCGGTCGAATAGAAATTGTCTAGATTACATTAATATTATAGTTCAAATTTTAACTTATCTACCCTTTTTTTTTCTTATATACCGATATACATACGCCAAAGATTAAGGAGCTCGCCAGCGCAGTGATTAGCGCGTTAAGCTACTTTGGCAAGGGCCGGTCACAGGATGGGTGACCAAAAGTTTTTATCTCGAGCTCCTACATGCTTCAGAATGCTCGCTAAGCCGTTGATCGTGGTTTTATCTGCAGTCGTTAACACTAATCAATCCGCACTGGGCCCGCTTGGTGGGTCGTGGCACGTTCGATCTATAGGAAAGGCCTGTGCCCCAGCAGCGGGGACATAAATACGCTGAAGATCTATATCCGAATCTAGTCCCAGCTGTCATGCTTTGTGTGTTGCTATGCTATTCTGTAACAACAGCCTTAAAGCGATGAGCGCAGCGCTAACACAACATACAGCTTCAATAAAATAAAACCTTTATCACCTTGTGAAGTAGGTTCTATTCGATTAGACCTTTATTTATACTATCACAGCCCTAAGTTTGTCTAGAAGTTCGATACTGTTTTTTATAATAGCACCATAATACAAATGACTGCTCTGATTCATGTGAAAGCTAACTTATATTTATAATTTTTTAAATATCATAGGCAACCCTTCAACTAGCTTTTTGATCAAATTAAAATACGAAGGATGTACTCCATTCTAATAGACATTTTAATACGTTTGAATAATATTACCACATTTAAAAATTACAATTTTAGACGAAGGTAGTAAATTAACCAGAAGTAAAAACTTGAGTAAAGTTAACGATGACGATGACGTAGGTGGTGCACAAGTTGATGAGCGTCAGCGGGAGTGTGAGGTCGATAGGGATCAGTCTCCACACTTTATAACTAAACGGCCTTAACTGAGTGTACCGGAGGAACAAATCCAAGTCTTCTTTGGTCCTTTGATCTGAGGAAACATTAAATTAATAATATATTTAAAGTAATGCTAAAACATTAAGTACAGTACATTTCGTTTGCTGTCCTGCATTTAAGCAATCTTTATGACAATACAGTGACTTAAACAATTTTTTTTATTGTAAACTCATCAACATCTACCTTTTAATGTTGTGACGGGTTCGATGGTTAGACAAATGGATAAAAGGCTGACTAAGCTTGAAAATTTGATTTATTTGAGGGTACTAGAAAAACCCGTTTCTGGGTTTCCCGTAATAGATAAATCTTGGAAGATATTTCACAAAAATATATGTGTACATTTTTCTTATTTAAATTATAATAACTTTATTATTATTACATTTATATAATTTAAATTTATCATGTTCTCACAAGATAATTTTTTTTTGAACTGACGTTCATAAAGAGCTTATTGGATTACTCAAAATTTTAAATTACGAAAAGTAAATAATAAAATAAATGATGTTAAATATCAAAGACAAAAAGTTTGCATGTAGAAACCTGGGATAAACAGTGTTACGACGCACCGTCACAAAGTGGATAAGGTATAATAATACCCTTTAGTTAGAAAAATTGTATTATTGACCTTGAATCACCAAGCAGACACATGGCGCCTATGTAGATAAAACATCTGTAAATGCAGCAAGGACAAAGGCTTAACACATGTTCTGAAGCAAAGTGTAACTACCTTCCCCAAGATTCTCTAATCATCGCAATTACAGTCTAAATGTAGTAACCATAGTGCAATCAAAGTTTCAAATTTCAATTACAATAAATATTTTTACCGATTTCATGTATGAGCTGGTGCATAAGTAACATTCTTATTTTCTCCACTTCAGCCTTACACATCTCCACGACGACACAAGGCAAAAATATGAATGATGATACTTGTATAAGGTTCATCATCATGTAGCCCAACGTAGTATACGGCAGCTAAAAGTAAATGTACTTTTGGTAGTAGTGAACACAGTAACAAAACCAGCATATTTTCATCTCTGCTAACCGATGCAGTACTATTGCTATTTACAGTTCTTCTGCTATTTACTTCTAAACCGATGACGTAGTTTTTTAAGTAGATAGTGCTGGCTAACACTCAGCCAAAGACACCACAAATGACTATGTACTAATTTTGCGTAGTAGAGCTGTTACCATAAATAATTAAAAAGTTCATCTTACTTGGTTATCGATTACCAACAGGATACTGTATACATTTATAATCAATTTGGGTAAACTGCATACGATGCTAATAAAAAACTGTAAGAGAAAAAGAAATATGATCAAGAGCCAATTTTAGGAATTCTACTTCTCTATAGTAATTTGAACCGTGTAGGCTATACAACAAGATTATTTAATATTTCAAGAAATAAAAATAAAATAGTTAATGAAAAAAAAAGGAGAAAACATAATTTATATATTAATAATATTGCAATAATTAAAATATACTCACTGATGCATCAAGTTCCGGTGATATCAAGTTCAATAAATCCCCTATTTTTCTATACATCATGAAACAGAATCTCACTTTGTTCTCTCTCATCATTTTATTATCTTTCACGTATAAATAAATATTACACTCCGGTGTTTCCTCCAGTCTCTTTCGCAGAAGATGCACACGTCTCCAAATCTGTTCAAAGTGCCAATACCTCCATATACGATTGAGATCCAAAGCGAATAAAGAAAATTCATAAATAAGAAATAATAAAAAATTATTGTAGTATTTATGGGTCAAGCAGTAACTGATCGAGTATGAGAGTCTCACTGTCCAACAGAATGAAATAAGGAGAATTAGTTTGTTCCTTGTCCTGTAATACGTTCTATGGTTGATTCTCAAATAAGTATCGATGAGATAAACTTTATGAAAGTAAGAGGTGATCTTGCTTTCGTAAAACAACATTATGCCGACATAAATTGAGTATTCTAATAAAGACCAAACGAAGGATACACTCTGAACATCGCAACACCACATGCTAGCATAGCTGATTACGACAACAAGGAAAAGGGTATACAATTTTAAACTGTATTTTATAAAGCAAGTCTTCGTTATTCCGCAGTTAAATCCACATATGACCATCAATATCATTAATGGTTTGTATATATTGAAGAGGTCTTGGGCTTTCGTGATTTTGTTAATGGTTTTTAGTGCCATTTTGAAACGGTTTGTTTCAAAGTAATGTCACTGACTGGCTTTGCGGTTATTTAGTTGGTGGTGACACAGAGTGAGAATAACAAAGCATTCTGTGTGTTAACTTTCATTTATGTTGTTGCATTTGATACATATTCTAACTCTAAATAAGATAAATATGTTGTAGAAGAAAGCAAGCTAGAATGCAGTCGAGTATCTTATTCCAAACTATAAATTCGATTCAATTCAATATTTTTAAAATTTTTCTTATTAAAGATATTTGTTCTATGTAATAATAATAATATTTATTAAACCACATATATGCTGTACCAATTTGCTTAGTATCTGCTGCTTGTTTTGTGGTGGTGGCCGAGCTTTCTTTATTTAAAGGCAGACTTTTGCTAACGTTTATTATATTATACCTTATATAAATTACAAGACACATTGGTGCGACATGACTAAGACGACAATCGAGAGAAGATGGAGCCGACCCTTGC